AGTATGTAAGCAGAAACATAAAAAAATCGGGTTATCACTTAGTGGCGCGACCAAAATAAGGGAAAGCATTATTTTGGTCGCGCCACTAATTGAGGGGGGATGCATTACCTATACGCCACGCCTCTTAGTACCCACTCACAATCGTAGCGTCACTTTAATGCAGTTTAAACCGCTCAGCAGACGGGACATTGTTTTCATATTTCCAAACGAAACGGAAACCAGTAAACGGAAGAAAGTAAGCGACCCGAAATATGCATATTTTGTAATTGACGACACATTTACCATTGCTAGCCACCATATGCCATCTAGTAGCCCTTCATCCACAAAGATGACTTGGCAGAAGATGTGAAAGAATGGGCTGTCGAAGTCATTTGAGGACTATTTTATTGCCACTTCCGGTAATAAACCGGGTCTTAGATGACTTCGGAAAAGTTGTTAGGCATTTTATTACTTCCATATTCGCACATTATTGGTGAATATATTCCGAATCCCAGATAGCTCATGAACGGAGTCCCACTGAACGTTCGCATATGTTGAGCAAACTTTCCCCCCAGCTCTGGAAAATCTAATCGCCACGTAAGCAGCACGTCTAGAACTCTTGTCCAAATCAATAGCAATTAGTTTTTATGCCAAAATCTGAAGGGGCGGGTTTCACAACGCTTTTTTTACAACAGCTTCAGTTGTAGCCAATTTCCTTGAAAATGATTAGATCGGAAACTATTAATGAAATGTTCATTTGCTCTCGGCTATGGTGCCAGAAAAAAACACTAGGATAGACTACTTTGCTAGGACAATAATCCACTGGAACTACTTTCTAAAGAATCAGTAATTGACCTCATAGCATTGGGAAAGTCAGAGCAAGAAATTTAACGAAGCTGAGTTTTGAATGGAGCAATATTTTTCGGCCCCCATGCCGAATATTAGCCGCCCCTTATGACTCCTGGGAATCTCTTTTGAGGAGTGAAGTCTTTGAAGCTTAACTGAATGCGTTTCGGAGTCGTAAAAGTCACACAGAAAGAGGTAGTTTCCAAGAATCAAAGGCACACCATTGACCATTCCACTTTGAGAGCCTGCCCTCAAAGGACAACATTCAAAGATCCAGTGGGATAGAAGGTTGCCAGAGTTGGCTGTGCAGAGCGCACCCCCCCCCCCGTCCTCTCTCGCAATCTGTCTAACTGCTGCCTACCAGATTTACCAAAAATTTCGAAATTTCTCGGTAGACAGAGGTGCGGAGGGTTGAAGGAGGAAAATACTTACACCTCCGACAGTCACCAGAAATAGAAGTTTCTCCTCGCAAACGAATGGGAATCAAGTGGGTGCATAGCGTACGCGAAACGGGGAAAATCAGCATCAGCACTCGAAAGGATATCCCTCGAGACCAGATACGATCCCATCATAGGATGCGCTCAGCCGTGATGTGCGCTGTG